TGCAAAGCGGTCCAACCGGAAGATGTGGTTGACCCCATGTTAGACCGCACCGATCAACAGTATTTGGAGTACGTTCGCATGGCGATGGAGATCCCAACATGTGATGGGATTTTGCTGAACATATGGGAAGACCTGGAACCCAAAACATTGGAAGCATTGAGAGACGAGGAGCTCTTGGGTCAGCTTTGTAAGGCTCCGGTTTACCCGGTTGGACCATTAACGAGGCCGCCCAAACCACTTGATTCTAGGAGTGGTGAGTTATTTATTTGGTTAGATAAGCAACCCAGTGAATCTGTCATCTATGTATCATTTGGAAGTGGTGGAACTCTGTCCTTGGAGCAAACGGTCGAGCTAGCTTGGGGTCTTGAGCTAAGTCAACAAAGATTTATTTGGGTGGTACGCTCACCTTCAAGAAAAAAAGGAGACGGGTCATTTTTCAGTGCAGGGAGCGGTGAGGCTAGCAGCATGGCAAGCTGCTTTCCTGAAGGTTTCCTAGATCGAATTCAAGAAGTGGGTTTGGTGATTCAAGATTGGGCTCCTCAAGTGGACATCTTGAACCACCCATCAGTGGGAGGGTTTATATCTCATTGTGGATGGAATTCGACTCTGGAGAGCATCACCAATGGAGTGCCTATGATTGCATGGCCACTATACTCCGAGCAACGGATGAATGCTGCTTTGCTAACCGAAGAGCTTGGTGTAGCCGTGCGACCAAGCATTTTGGCATCAGAAGGAATGGTAGGAAGGGAAGAGATAGAGATGATGATTAGAAAAATCACGGTAGATAAAGAAGCGACTAACATAAAAAACAGGGTAAAAAAACTCAAATACAGTGCAGCAGAGACCATAAGCAAGGGTGGTTCCTCTCATAATGCGTTGTCTCTTGTGGCCAAACAGTGTGCGCTAAGCTGGAAAAGCATGGAGTTGAAAGCATCGTGAAATGCTTGATATTTTGTTGTATTTCCTTTCATGTGTGCTAGCACATATTCTCTTTAGATTGTTCTAGACAGAGGAAGATGGCCTTGAGAAAGACGGGAAGGAGAGACGCTCTCTCCACAGGGTATGGTTGGATGAGATTTACTTCTCTCCGCCTGGTGTGTAGTTGGATAAGATTTAGCTATTGTTATTAGATATGTCTATAGATGTAATGTTGAGTATCTAAAATTAAACAATCACTATAAATATTTTATTTTATTAAATATATAATTACGTATAATCTCTATGAAAATTATATTTATAAAAAATAAACAATCATATGAAAATTATATTTATATAAAAAAGCCATTTTCAAGAAGGTGTGTTAGAGTAATTTGTGACAGAACAAAGAAATTAAAAAAAAAAAAAACAAATTAACTGGCTCCAAGACTTGTCCCCACTCAACATCAGGATGAGGTTCCAATTAGGAAAAATAAAAATGGAAAGGCAGGAAATGCATGTTGGAGAGATTTGTTTTTACAGTAAAAAAAATTTAGTTTAATTTTTATTTTTTTTATTTTATATATAAAATATTTTTAAAAAGTTATAAAAAAATTAGAAATATTATATTATTTTTTTATTATATTAAATTTGATCCTTAAATTTTTTATTGCTATATATATATATATTGTTTTAAATATTTATTTTTCAATTTCATCCCTTAAAATTTAATTTTTATAATAATCTTGGTTTTTATTTTTATAATTTTTATTTGCTTTTTCCTTATTATTTTTTAATCAAAATTTTTTATCTATTAAATTTAATTCTTATTAAATTGATTGTTACTTATTTTATTTTAAATAATTTATGAAATATTAATTATTATTATTTTAATTTCTTCTAAATTTTTTATTTTTTAGATTTGATATATATTATTTTAATTATTATTTATTTTATTAAAGATAATTTATTAAATTATATTTTTTTCAATTTCATTCTCATTCACTTTTTTAATTTGTAAGATTTATTTTTTTAAACATTTGAGTCATTGGCTATAGAATAAATGCAGAATAATGCTAATGGCATTTGATAGACATGTCACAATGAGTGTAGAGGTTTTGTTTCGTTCTCTATCTTTTTTGTCCCCTTATGCTTGTAGAGGCTCAGTCTCTTTTATTATAGGCTCAGTCTCTTTTATATAATAATCATGCAGCTAAAGTCCCTGTCACGGGGTTAAATTTTTTACAATAAAATTCAACTTAATGTTCTAATTTAGTTCCAACTAAACTTAGCCTTGTCTTCTCTTTTCGCTCGTGTTTCCTACAATTATGTGTTTCGCTCACCCAACAAAATTCTCATAATTACCAAGTCGTATAAAAGGAACAAACACAAGCAAGCATGCAAGTTTACAAAAATACCTTTCAACCTTTATTTATTCACACTCATTTAAGTACACAATATTCTGTCTAAATAAAAAATAAATAGCCCAATTGTACATACTTTATAATCAACAATGACTTCAATTTCTTATAATTAAATCATTCAAAGACTTGTTTTCTTCCCCATGTTTTTTTTTAAATATAACTTCTTATATCATCTTATTATATTGCACTTACTTCCCATGATCTCCATGATCCCTCATTTTCGAGGCATAGTGGAGCACTTGCTCTCCCATTAACTTAGTGGCTTACATAGTGGAGCACTTCCTTCCCCACTCAGCTGTCACTTCCTCACATTTTGCCCCCATGATACAGCCATATTCTGCCTATCCGCATGGCAGTCTCACCTGCCTATTCTACTGCGTCAGCTGCTAACTTAGAAGGTCCATCATCTAAGCCCTCACGTCCATACCAAGTCGCAAGCTCAACGACTCGCATAGATCATTGCATGCTGCTTGCCGAATTTGTTTTTGCCTATGCAAGGCTGTCACTGTCCATCGCTGCTGAATTCTAGACAATATGCTTTCATTGGCGCATCCCCACGCCTAGAACCTTAACAATCCCTCTGTTTTGGTTGTCGACCACTTGTGTTTTTTATATTTTGTTTTTTCTATTATAAAATATTATTTATGAACCTGAACTCAGACTCACCTTGATTTCATCACCTTCTTAATCTATAATATTATATATAAAAGTGCATTAGGGTGTCAAAACAGTTAGTTGACATAAAACCCTTCACTGTTTGATTAAATCATTAAAATACCCTTGGACAGCTTTTAGCATAATAAAATTCTCAGTGTAGTTTGTCTCACATTTCATTATTACATGCATTAACTATCCAATCAAATACACCTCAAATACAATCTATAGGCTGTAAACTTGATTAATTGTGCTATCTTAGTATCAAAACAATTTAGAACAGCTATTTGGACCTGTGTTGAACTACAGTTGAACAGAACAAATTAAGTTTGACTAAGGTGTTTTAATAATTTCGCCTCTAGGGTTTGCTCTGCTAATATGCCATGGTAATTGGTAATTTTATAAATTTGTTTTAGGAGGGGAACTTTAAACCATCAAAAACCGAACAAGACCATGCTTTCCTGCTGCAGCTGCTTTTCTGGTTCCAACAATCATTCAGGTGTTTTTCATTCCTTTTCTGTTTTTACGTTGGATTTGCCCTTAAAATTAACAAAATACTGCTTAATAAATAGTCACATCTCCCAGCAATAATTACTTGCACAACTTACAAGTAAGTACTCCGAGTAAGGAACTATACTCTGTGTAAATAGACTGTTTTCTTTTGTATGTTATGTTTATAGAATGACACTATTTTCATAGGAAGATCATTTTTAGGACTAGATATCTCATGTTATGAGTAGCACCAGAGGATGGTTCCTCGTTGATGTAACAAACTCTTGAGCAAACATGGAATTTGCTTTTTTTGCTTTATGATGGCAGGAAAGTGTGATTAAATTGATAGGATCTTAATTTCTTGGATATGGCCTTTATTTGCTATATCTTATATCTTATTAAGTTAAATTTTAATCATTCTAAAGTATAAATTTCAGCATCGTACTTATACATCTTATATCTTTAATATCTAAGTGTGTATTTTATTGTATAATTTTACACCCCACATATATTAAAGTCTATATTTAGACCCTAGAACAAATATTGAAAAAAGATTTTTGACATTTTAGCCTAATTGATAATTATAAACTAGTTATAATATCTATTTTTTGAATTTTCAAAATATAAGAAAGTTGCAATTTTTTTAATGAAAACATATTTGAAAATATTTTAGGATTTGGTCGTATGCATGAAAACAAAATATTTTTTTTTTGGAAAGGAAAATTAATTTAAAAGTTTTTTTGAGATTTTTTTAAATATTTTGAATTTTTTTAAAAATATTTTAGAGAAAATTGGGTATTTTAATATCATATTTATATTTTAGAGTGTAAAAATACATCTTGATATTATGCAAAATGAATAAAAAAATATCTAAGAAAATCATAATTTTTTTAAATGATTTTTGAATTTAGTTTTATTTTTTTTAGTCGGACTGGACCTGACTTTGCTATTTAGGCTAACTTAGAACTAGGCTTGCCTAAGTGAGTGAATTATTTGTAGAACATAAACAATAAGTTTACGTACTGCATGCAACTTTACAGTCGCAAACAGTGGAATGAAGTGAGAGGCAACCTTATGGAGGAGAAGAAGATGTTATCACTAGTCTGAAATGAGGTTGGAGGTGATCTGATCATAAAAAAAGAAAGGCTGATGGCGATGTTGGTGGAGAGTTTTGGCTGCTGGAGTTATTGTAAGAAAAAGAAGAAAACTGGAGTTATGGTCTAAGATAGCTCACATCCCTAAGATTACAGTCATTTAAGATATGCAAATTAAATTTGTAATGAGAATAAAATATATATTTTCGTAGTGTTAATTTGTTGTAATTGTTTAAATAATTTTCTCAAATTGATATAAATATATAAAAATGATTGGTTCATTAATTGAAACATGTTTTACTAGTATGGTAATAAGTATTTTTTGGTTACTCCAAAACAAAAACTTTTATAAGAAAATCAACTGTTGAGGTTTCTCAACTAAAATATTAATCTCTTTAAACATCTTTTTAATCTTCATTTATGAAGATGTAATTAATTGAAACTAATAATATTTTATCATTCAAGATCTCCGTGCAAAAATATTTGCTCGATTTTCTTTTATTCATTTTATTTTATTTCATTAAAAACAATCTTTTTTAAAAATAATTTAAAATCAAGTTTGTCTCTTCAATAATATCTATATGTCAATTCAAATCAAAAAAATTCATGAAAACTTAGACTTAAAATAAATAATATCGGAGATAGATAATATACATAATCAATATTGTTTAAAGTAAAACATAACCAAGACAACACTATAATGATACAATATTCACTTTACACATTCTCTCCTTCAATTTATATAAAAAAAATAGTAAATAATGCTTCAATAGTAAAACGTAAAACGTTTACTACGCGTCAATAGTGACATACAGCTGGACACTGTTCATCCCACGTTTTTCACGCGTTTACATTACAGGTAATACTTTATACCAAAAGAGAACGATAATTTGTTTTTTATTTATTTATAATTCAAATTAAACTAATATGACGCAGGACTTGTGTCCAACCGGTACGGTAAAAAAAGAATCCAGTACCTTCCCTCCGAAATAAGCAAAATAAAAATCACATTAATTCAATAAACCGAAACAAAATTCTTAATTCTCAATCTCTCTCTAAGGGAAAAGACAGGAAAAAAAAAAGAGTAAAGATGGTAGCCCGCAAATTCATCATCAGCCACAATGACTCCATCTTCGACGTCGATTATGACACCGACGACGGCCTCGAAGTCAGTCTCGCACTCTCTAAAACACAATTCTCTCGATTTTTATCAACAGTAGTGTTTGTTTCATTGTTATGACGAATATTGCAGGTTCTTAAGATCCAGCTTATCTCTCTCACTTCAATCCCTCCTCATCTCCAGCAGGTTTTTGTTATTTTGTTTGCTTCGTCATCAACACTTGCGTGTGTGTGTGCATTTCTTTTTATTGGTGTTTTTTTTGTAGATCACCGGAGAAGATGATGATCGAGTCGTATCGGACGATTCTAATCTCACTGGCATTTCTAACAAACTCAAATTGATAAAAATCAACGAGGAAGAGAAGGAAGTCAAGGTACAAGAATCAATTGCCGCTGTTGTTGTGCAGCAAAATGAAGAGGAATCAATTCGTGATGTGCCGGGTTTTTTTACTTATAATTTTATTTCTTTATGCAATTAATTCAGAATTTTGCTGCTGCGGCTGCTGTTGTTATGCATTTGTGTATTAAAACGGTTTGTTGTGTAGATTCTTGGAGGAGATGACGTGTCGGATGATTCTGATGTCGTTCATGTTTCGAATGAACTCAAAGAATTAACTGTTGCCGATCTGATGAAATCGGATGAGGAGCTTGCGCAGATGTTACAGGTTTTTTTATAATTTTTTGTGCTTGTGTTTCAATTTTCGGTTTGTGAGAGTGATTTAAACATTATGTTTATAGGGTCTGTTTGTGTTTAGGCAGAGGAGGAAGCGCTTATGTTGCAAGAGTTTGCAGT